ACTCTGGCTGATGCCGAAGCCGGGCCTGGGCCAAGTGTCCCCCCACCGCGGTGCCATCTCAGCCTCCCAGAGGGTGGGCCCGGAGGGAGGCTTCCCGGGGGGCCAGCACCCCCTCGTTCGACACCTGAGGAAGTGACGAGAGAGGAAGCAGGTGTTCCCAGGGGGACGCCTGCTCGCCGAGGCCCGGATCCTTTCCTTTGTCACTCACAGCTGTGCACACTGCACAGGGCGCTGAACACACGTCGGGTTTTCCAAAGACATGCAGCCTCTTAGGAGCACCAGGGACATCTTTTTTCAAGTATTTATTTATTCTCTTCCTTCTTCCCTTTCAAAAGAATTGGAAGCCACTTATCAAAAAGGCGCTCAGGTGAGGCAGCCTTCCCTGCTGGCGCACAGACCTCCGCCGTTTGCAACTGGTCACCTAACGATCCCCAAGTTTCTCGGAGCCTCTGAGGCTCCGCCCACAGGATGCAGCCCGCAGGAGTGCTGTGCAGATTAAAGGGGATGAAGTCCGCAGAGCGCCCAGCACTCTGCCTGCGGCACACGTAGGAGCCAGAGCGACAAATGAACAGACTTGTGTTGCAAGGATGGAACCAAACTAGGTTCCTCGCGGGCGATGAGCTTGAGTGCACTTCGTCCTGTTTCGTCCTCGCGTTAATGCGGGCACTTCCCGCCCTACTCCCTGCCGGGAACCGGGTCTCAGCCAGGTTAAGTGATTGGCCCAAGTCACACAGCCAGTCGGTGGCGGGGCCAGGACTGGACCCCAACTCCACGTGCTGCCTCCTAAGCCGTGAAGGGGAAGGAGGGACACCTGAAAGCCAGGCTAGAAACCCTACGGTGATGCTGCCGTAGAGGAGTCACGCGATACCTCGGACAGTGGGCCAGCTTCGAAACCACACACCGAGGCTCAGATCCAGCCCCGATTTCTTATCAGCTGTGTGACTCTGGGCTGGTTGCTTAACCTAAATCTCTCTTTCTTCATCTGCTAGGATGTACATTAAATGCCTCGCACACAACGGGCTCTCAATTAGCAAGAGCTGTTCCTCTTACTGAGCGCCAAACCTAGCTCCGAGCTTCCTAGCGGCCAAGGCAAAAAAGGGAAGAGTTGGAACCCAAACCTTGACACACACACCCTAGCCCAGTATTGCGTTCCTTGCCTGCTGCCCAGTCACTAGCTACTTAGTGGAGGCCCACGGTGTGCCACGCTCTGCCAGGGGCTAAGCTGCCTGGGGTGGGCCTGGCTGCAGTCCTTCTCTCCCACGCAGGATTGCTGGAGATGAAGCGTCTAGAATACATCCATCACAACCAGACGGTGCCCCAGCAGATCGGGGACAGCGTGTACTACGCAGCACCCCTGTCCATCTGGTGGCAGACCCCTCAGTACCTGCTCATTGGCATCAGTGAGATGTTTGCCAGCATCCCAGGTACCCCGTGCCCCTCCCCCGCGCTCACTCGCACCGGTAATGGGCAGGGCCTGATGGTGCCTCCCGGTCAGAGGTCTCACGGCACAGCCTCTAGAGCCCATCTGCGTGGAGGAGGCGGGGCCGGTTGTGGGGCTGCGTGCACCCAGTGGGGGTTCATCAGCACCTGGCCGTGCCGGGCACTGCGAGGGGCACGGGGATTTGGGGGTGACTAAGACACTTCCCGTTCGGACTTTCCACACGTCTCCCAGCTGCCATGTCCCCAGCGGCTGTTCCCTCAGATTGAAAGTGAACTCCTGTTTCCCCTTCAATTCCGGGCCTCAGTGCCATCTCCCTCACGAGGTCCCCCCAATGCCCCGCCCGAAGCACAGGGTCCTCCCCTCCTCATCACCTGTCCCCGCACACAGGTCACGCTGCTGTAATAATGCAATTGTGTGTCTGCATCCGGGGCTGGGCTGTGAGCTGAGAGAGCTCAGGGCTGGGCAGGCTCTCCAAGGAGCCCAGGAACAGGGCCTACTCAGCTGCAGGCGCAGGGGGAGGCGGGTGGGACTCCCCGTGGGATGAGGGTCGGGGGTCAGTCTCCTGAACAGCAAGCCGGGGGAGTGCTGTGGAAGTGACTGGG